CTTAGGTTAAATCCCTGTACTTCCACCCTATTTTTGCTCCATTCTCCCTGCCCCCTCCCCCATTCTTCCCATCCACCGCCAGAACCTGGATGCAGCCCAGACCTTAACCATCTCCAGTTTTGCTCCTCATTGAGGTTTACCTTCTCTGAAAGTAACCCAAGTCCCTCTTTCCTAATTTAAATTCCCCTCATCACCTACTCCATTCTTCATCCAGCTTGGAATCAGAAAAAGGAAGCTCCCCCATGAAGTGATAACTTCTTTTCACTAGATACCAGACGGGATAAGATGACCTCTAAGTGCCTTCCAGGTAGAAATTTATTATTAAAGCAACCTATACTGTACAGTGAATCACATTCAACTTGCACTCGAAAATCTCCACACCACCACAGAGGTGTGTGCTTGCTATGTCCCTGGTGGAATTTAAGATAGTGGTAGCATGCTCACATCCCACTCCTCAGCCTCCTGTCTCTTGGCATATGGTTGGCTTGGGGAGAGGAAAAGTTGAGACACCTTTGTGAAAATTTAGTCACATACTTATTATTGAGGAAATAAAATGAGGGGGGAAATGAAAGTAATAGGAAGCCACTCCGAGACCACTAACCCTAACCCTAACCCTAACCGTAGATGCATAACTGAAGGGGCCTGGAACGTGGATGCCAATTGTGGAGACAAACCCCTTTCCCAGCAGGTGGACAGAGTCAAAAGAACTCAGCCAGCAGTCATCTCCTTTCCCACATCAGCTTCCTAATTGGAATTGAAGATTTAGGCTGCCCCAGTTCCAGAAGAAAAAGAAGAATAGCCCTCTCCTAAGGCTATGATAACCCTGGCATTTCCCCATCTCTTCTGAATCTGACCTATTTACCTCAAAAAAAAATGTCTCTAGGTTTCACTTGGGTCAACAGTGGGCACTATTCATCACTGGTAAACATAAGATAAATGTTATATGAAGAAAAGCCACACTATGAAGTAAAGTGAGACAAAAGAATCATTGCTACCACCTCTAACTCCCACCCCGCCCCCAGAAATGCCAGTCTTCACAAAAGTCTCTATTTCCTCACATACAGTAGCGTTGATTCAAGCAACTGGGTTAAACATAAGTAAAACCTCAAGTTATTCAATTTCACTATGCTTTCTATTTAGTTAATTTTTTAAAAGTAAACATAATCACTTTCCTTCTATTCTTTTCCTTGCAAATACAAGCTAATTTAACTGTGTAGAATTGACTTATCACCTAAACACCCCTATATCACTATCTCATTGCCAAACATATTTTAACAGTTTACAACTTTTAGAAACAACCACCATGTATTTAGAATACACCCCTGGCCTGTATTTCAGGAAGGAAGCTTTGTTCTGGGAATACCAAATGAGCACAAGCGGGGGACCGGGGAGACAGAGTGTGGGAATGCAGCAGAAAGTGCCAGAACTTAATGTCAACAGACGGCTTTCTAGGACCATCAGTGTCTTTAGGTTTCAACACCAACTTATTCTTAATGCAGGACAGTTTATCAGTTAGAATCATCTTAGAAATCTGGAAAAAATATAAAAACACAGTGGGCAAGTATACCTGTACAATAAGCCAATACTTAAAGCATCACTCTGCAGAAAAATGAAGCATACCTAGTCACATATAAGGCCCCAGCTCCTACAAACAAAAATGTAGCCAATTAATGTGTCTCAAGGGGCAGACTTTTCGTGACTTCAAACTCCCCCCCTAGAATGGCTCTGATTGGCAGATATTTACTGTGAGAGGACAGATGACTTAAGGAAGGCCTGTGGTCATTTTATGTCAGTGGTTCAAATAAGTTGTTTCCTCTCTCTTATTCTTTATTTCTTTCTTCCTTCCTTTTTTTTTTCCTGCCAATCCCTATGGCTACATCACACCTGCTACCCTCAAAATATATGCTCATAGCAGCATCTTAAAGGGACAGGAATCACTACAAAAGATGCACACAGTTGGATTTCTTATGCAACTCGTTGATTGAATATGCCTATAGTGATTTTTTTCAGCAAAAGTTGTCAGCTTAAAATTATAAATGACTTCAAACTGCTGATATTCATTTCATTTTGCTTTTAGGGTGGTCAGGGTGTCAAATTTAATGACAAAATGTGCCAGGAATCAACAGGCTTTTATTTTGCCTTGATTTTACTGACTAAAATCCATCCCTAACTTGATTGTTTGGGAGCAGTGCGACTTCAAACTGCTGATATTCATTTCATTTTGCTTTTAGGGTGGTCAGGGTGTCAAATTTAAAAGGATAAAATGACAAAATGTGCCAGGAATCAACAGGCTTTTATTTTGCCTTGATTTTACTGACTAAAATCCATCCCTAACTTGATTGTTTGGGAGCAGTGTCTTCTGTTTGTTTTATTCTGTGAAATCAATTATTAGGGAGAAAAATAAAAATAGATGAAACAGTATTACCTAGGTACAAAATTAAGCTATAAACTATTAAGTAGAACATGCTTACTGTAGTTAAAAGACATAAACCACATATAAATTAAGCAACAACTCATCATATTAGATAGTGACCTTTGGCATTGGCATTTTCCAGTATCGTTTCAGATAGCACACGTAAAGATGGCAAAAGTAATTTAATCCCTTCATGCCCACGTCCCAAACAGAAGTGCACTTCTGAAATAGCCTCAGCAGAAGCAACATATTTTCACACTTACATTTAAGGGACTAAGGCAATCTTGTAAGTGAAATGGTGTATCAAGCAAAGTCAATGGATGAAGAAGAGTTTCAATAGCAAGTGAGTCAATGAATAATACTTGCGACATACATACTTGGGGAAACCTTGAGTATAAAGTGCTCACAGTTCAGAATGAAAAAGAAAGACTAGCACAATGTATTCAAAATCATCCATCTTTAGGAGGAAGCACATAAAAATGAGCTTTTTTTGTTTGTTTTTAAACTATAAGCCAGCACATTGATTCTAATAACGTGTTTTAGCACAATGTATTCAAAATCATCCATCTTTAGGAGGAAGCACATAAAAATGAGCTTTTTTTTGTTTGTTTTTAAACTATAAGCCAGCACATTGATTCTAATAATGTGTTCTTAAAGTGGTATTTCCCATTTAGGATATGAGATTTCAAGCAATGTGCCTGGCTTCACCGCCTTGTAACACACAAAAAAACAGAAACAATTATGAGACGATCCATGGCATAAGGGACTCAGAAAAATGTAGAAAATGAGCAGCTCATAGATTGCCCAGTTACAAATAGTGTACCAAATTCCTTCACTTTCATCTTTGAAACAGGAATGCACACCCAGCTGGTATTACAAAATGCCCTAATCACATGGGATGGGAAAACAGGAGATTAATACTGATGACTGAGGTGGTTACCAGCATTTCAAGCCTGAAAAGAACAAAACCATTCAGCAAAATTATTTCCTGGCATCAATCTGAATTATGGGAAGGCACAGTTGTACTGCAAAGAGAAAAAATAAAATGAAAATAAAATGAACACTTTAAATTATTTGGAAACTTCTACCAATCTCATTTTCATGGTTTTCCCCATTAAAATTTTTACCTAATAAAAGCTAATACCTAAGTAACGAAATCTTTAAGAAATAAAACCAGAATTCAAAGTTGGGCCTTTTCTTTTCATATCCTTTCTCAGCTGTCTGCCTTCAAATAAGACAAACTTTTGGCAGGAACACAGAAAGTATCCAGACATTTCAATGAATTAGACAAGGGAAGTCTAAATGAACAAACCCTGGCACTCGTAAATGAAGCAGTCTTTTAAAAAACAAAGAGCCAAAACAGAGGCTAAATAATGCTTCCTGAAAAAGAAATTCCCTTTTTAAAAAATGAGATACACACAGTTCTAAAAGATCATTAAAGCAGTATTCTCAATTAGTTTCTTTTTTTTTCCCCAAGTTAACCAGTTTCCTTTAATTAGCAGGATAGCATGCTTCTGATTTTCAGAAAAAGAGGAAAATCACAAAAAAATGAGCTGACATCTAGTATTTATTTTTTTAAAAGTCTAAGAAATACCCTAGGGCAATATTAATTCAATTGTATCCAAAATATCTTTTTTATTTCCTCCAGACTCTAATAATGAAAATTATCATTTACAATCCGCAGGGCCAAAATTTTTTTTAAAAGTGTATGTGTGTGTGCATGCATGTGTTGAGGGGGGGCAGATACTGACATCCAGGCATCCAGCTAAGATCACTAACTCCAGTGTGGAGTTTGTATGGGTGGGGGTGGGGGTGGGGGGATGGGCAGCGGTAAGATAAGGAAAAAGCAACTAAATATGGGCAGAAGGCCCTGAAAGTTGCAGTGGTAAACACTAATACCTACTTAACAGGTGCCACACAAGCCGTAAATGTTTTCTTCTATAAATTCATTTGATCCTCGAAATATAAATTAGTTTCTTTCAGATCAAACTGAGAAACTTTGACAGTAATTTCTAAATAAAACCATTAGTGTAGACATGACCTATATACAGTTCTTTAGAAGATTTAAGTTGCACATTATAATCGATACATGTACAGTCACTGTAGTAGCCTAAACTGAAGTGACTCCATTTTGTTAATTCTCCTCTAACCCAAACCACAGAGCCTGCAGCTAATTGCCAGAACACAACGACTCAAATAATTAGAGAAAAATTGTTAACCCAGATGGCCATTCTTGACTAGCTTACTAACCTGATCTTATTTGAGAAATAACAGGAGCTGAGACATGGAGAACAAAGTATGACGCTGGACAACTCCCACCCGGGAAGTTCCCTGGACAGTTATCTGAAACACTCAAGCATGTCTGCAGGTCCCCACTTGGTCACCATGAATCAGCTTTCCACCACAGACCCCTATAAATCCCTTTGGCAAACCTGGGAAAGGTGGAGATGGTCCTTGAGACATAAGTCCACCATTTCTCCAGGCTGCTGGCTTCCTGTACCTGTCCTTACACCAACTCTTGTCTCTTGATTATGGGCTATTGAGTGGCAAGCAAACAGACCCTTGGGGTCTGGGTAACATTACTTACTTGCTTCCTTCTGTAATGAGCAAAATGAGAGAGTCCTAAAACAGTTGCAAGAGCACCTCCTCCAACAAGAATAGTCCCTTTCACTGCCTTTTGAAATGCCATTTCTTAGCCTAAAAAGGAAACAAAAAGAAGTTAATTGAGATTTTTACTGCATAAGAATCCCCATGATAAAAGAAACTATGTAAATTATAAAACTATTTTAAACTAGAAATGAAAACACAAAATTTGGAAGTTACTAACATGCCAACTTGTATACCACAATTCTAAATCTATAACCAAAAGTAAACTGTATAAGGGAATTGATTATGCAAACGTTACTTTCTGATCTAACAGGAATTAAAGAAAGAAAAGCAAATTAAGAGATAACTGAGGATATTTAAACAGTATAAAGTCAAGAGAGTTGTGAAAAGAAATGTCATTGTGTATTTGACAAAACTGCATGCTGTACTGGCAAATTTATTCAACAGCTAATCCCCTCTACAAGGAGAACTAGTAGAAGTCTCAGGACACTCAACATGACAATAAACCTCTGGCTACTTCAGGTTCTTTGGCAAGTGTTTAAAATTCAAATCTTGGTACAACTCACTTCCCAGGATTTTTCCCTTCCTCATGTTCTCACTAGAGCCAAAAGTCAACACGCTCACATTTCTATCACTGAAAGAGTCTACACTTTACATATAAAAAGTTGAAGGATATCATGCCTCCTTGATCCTTTCACAAGTTGACAAACTTGGCCTATTGTAATTCCTTTCATTAGAACTTAAAAAAAAAAAAGAGGTTTTCTTGTAGCCAGAGTTGCATGACACCACAATTTCAAGAGGAAACCCTCCAGATAGAGCACTCTTTCATGTTCACTGCATATTTCTAAATAAAGTTCTGCATTGCGTTAGCTGTTGACTTTCTTTCCTCTCACTTGTTTTCCACTATTGGACAGACAGAATTTTAAAAATTTTTTTGAGGACTTAAAATTATTCTTTTACTTTTTCAGAAACAAACAAAAAAAACTGTGTAAATATGAAAATTTCACCAAAAATCTTCTTGTCCACTTTTATTCTGTTAAACATGAAAAGATAACACTGTGTGATCACCTAAAAAAAATTCTGACTTAAAGGTGAGTAATCTGAACTGCCGAAGACTTTCCATTCACAAAAGCAGCTGGCACACCCACATCTTACAGAGAAGCCACTGTCCCATTTTCCTGTTTGTGGAGGAGGTCTGACATGTCTTGACAACATACCTTATATGCTACTGACATCTCATAACTCAAGAATGTATTTATTATAAAGGCAATTTTTACTTAGGATACTAAAAAACATATAGTATATCAATGTAAATTATGATTGTTAAATATTTGAGTCCATATTGGATGGATAGTATCTATTATGATACTATCCTAAATTAAAGAATTTCAGTATAGTTGGTAACTATGATTCTACAGAAAATTCATTTAGGAATACTATAAATTACATGCTAAAAGTTGGCATTTCTTAAAATTTTATTTCTTCCTTTCAGCTCAAGTACTGGTTCCCGCAGGAAGTTCCCCCGTTTTAGAAATAAGCAAAGGACAAAAAATTAGTTCTGGCCCAGGCATACCACCAGCACCTTGGGGCCAGCCAGGGGACCCGAGTCATGGAGAAGCGGACCAGATACCCCTCCAACAACCAGACATACCACACTGCACCAGCACCTCGGGGCCCACACAGGGTCCCAAGGCATGGATCCAATGACCGGACACTCCCCACAACCAGGCACACCCTGCCAGCACAAAGGAGCATGCCAAAAACATCACCTCCATGTGGGTGGCCCACCACAGCCACCACTATAACTAACCATGGCTGCCATAAAAGTGTCTAGATGCCACAACCACCACACAGATGGTCTGCCAGCCCCTGGAGTGCATTGACACAGGGAGAGTCACCAGCAGAGATAAAGAAAAGAAGAGGGCGTCTTTCTCCACAAAGCCCATTTCAGAGTGACAAAAGAATCATCTGCTCTATGATAATATTGGAGGACCTGATCACACCTCTCAGCATTGGACAGATCATCTAGGCAACAAATCAAGAGTAACCATTATTCTTTCAGAAGGAGAGAAGAAATCTAGGGTAATTGGGGGGGAGAGGGGAGGGAGAGGGTGATGAGGAGACATTGCACAAGGGGCATAAAGAATAATTATGATTTGTAACAATATATATGTTAGTAATACTGATTTGATCAACATATCTCAATGTTGAACCCTAAAAATGTGTATAATCAATTTTGATTCAATAAAAATTTTATTTCTTTCTCTTATCTCATTCTTCCTGACAAACTCCTAAATTCTAAGACTCATCTTTTTTATTAAGATTCTTACCAGGAAAATATTTCACATGCTTATGTACTCTACTGTTGGAGGCTTCTTCTTTACTGTCCCTTCTCTGTATCAACCATGCCCTCTTTCCTAAATTACACAAGACAGTTGGTGTATGCTGGCGAGGGGCCTCCATTCATCATTCAGTCACCCCTAAGCAAAACCTTGTATCATAGATTGCTCTGATAGTAAAAAACCACAATTTAGTGGACACCCACTTGTCATAGCTCATCATCACCATTCAAGGTACTGCTGTAAATGTTCTCCTGGCTGCCTATCACATAACAAAGGAAACCCTAGCAGCCGACAGATAGCATGCTATCTCAAGGCTAACTGGATTCCCCTGACAACTGGGGACAGAGAATAGAATCCTAGTTCTATTTACCTAAACAACATATGTGCCTGCCCCATATAGACAGCAGCCTGGTGGTCTGTTGGATGTGAGTGCTGTGGCCGATTGACTTTAGCTTATCACTGTTTCAGTCTTGCTGATAATGGCATTGATGACCTCACAAAGGATGCCACACATCAACATGGCCAATTGAGGGATGTTATACATAACACAGTCAATAAAAATGTCTCAGTGTCAAAGATGTTCATTCAGCCAGTTAAATTTGGAGCTACTTTTTCCAAATGTGTGGGTCTCCACATTCCCTGCCCACCTTATCATATTGTTTCAACTTGATTTGTCTGAGACTAAAACTTGCAAAGGTGAATAATGTCATGTATTTTTCTCGATGAGCCACTAATCCTAATAAAAAACTGTATTCACATACTATTATGCAGAGCTAGCAATAATATTGCCTATAATCAATAGTTTCCTTTTTCAATGATTTCATAAAACAACCTATGCTTAAAGGATCATTATTTCTACTGTGATCAAATCCTTCTGTAAGATCATATAGCTGATTGTAGTGAATAAACCACTCTTCCAGAAAATTAAAAAACAAAAGTACAAAATCAGTCCCTTTCACCTAGCTCTCTTATGATTATCATTTTTATCACTGTTATTATTGTTATTATGAATGTTATAATGACAAGTTGCCATTTATTATTTGGTAGGTAACAGGTACTGTGCTTTTAATTCTAATTATTTTAATTTTTAATTTTAATTTTTTTTTTAAATTCTTCACACACATCAGCTCATTCACCCTCGCAACATCTAATTTCACAAAAAAAGGCAGTTGTGGTTCAGAGGAAGTAGTCACTCTCTAGTAAGTGAGAAAACCATGACTGACTTTATGCTCTTAACCACTGGTGGTTCTGCCCTGCCTTTGGCCTCAAAAAGCAATTTCTCCCCAAGAGCTACACCATATTTTGTTGTTACCACCAACAGAGGCCCTATTCTTAAACAATCACCCAAAGTGTACAGTCTCTTGGCATTTGGATTTCTAAGGCAATGAAGAAGCATCTGGCAAAGTGTCTACTAGTAACCTTCTGCCAGAAAATGTAAGAACTTTGTTTTAATGTTGAAAGAAAGAAATTTAAAACCAGGTAAATATAAACCATATGCTATGGACCACATGTATCCATTTACATTACACTGTAAGAAGGAAAGTTTTCATAATAATTACAAAGAAGAAAAGATAATTTCATTCTATATAAAAGCTACAACTAGGAAGTTAGCAAAGAAGGGGACCAGAAATATTGACAAATCTTTATCTTTTGCAATTAAAAGTGTGAGAAGACTGGAAGGAGAAAAATTATCCCAAAATAAAATTAGCTTAGTTATTATCATAGCTTAACATCCATTTATTACAGCCTATTACTTAAATCACATATACACTGACTCAGGAAGGGCTCCCGTGTTGGCACAGACCAGCACTAGTGCTAGCTAGCGCTCTAATTCTTCCAAGAACACCAGATTAACTGGGAAAACCTAAACAAAACTGTACTCAACTAAACATATCTGGGTGTTTATCAACTGCCCTCAATGAGATCACTATCTATTTGTAGGATTAAATATCAAAGTCGGTCTTGTAACTCTGTCTTGTAACTAGCTGTGATACACTGAATGTTATAAATACTCTGATAGAAAGAAAGCAAGGGGCTATATATCATTACAGTGGAACAAGAGACTGATTCTGACTAAAAGAATTAAAGAAGGCTTCAAAGAAGACAGGATACTTGAGAAGGATCTTAAAGAAAGAAAAAGATTTGGAAGTGAGTGAGAAGGGAAAGGTCTGGATAGAGAAAAATGATTTTGAGGAGAAAGAAGAACATCACAGTAATGCTCCAGAGGTATACAAGTAATGATAGTATCTGGTCTGGCTGGAGATGATGTTTGGTTGATTTAAAAAGAAGTCCAGGACAAGAGAGAGGAAGTCTCTGTATATGTGAAGTAAGATATTTCTATGAGATTCTATTGGCAATGAGGAGTTGAGGCTGTAGATCAAGGAAGAAAGATATTTCATCCCATAATATAAACAGTGTTTGAGTAGATTTTTGCATTGAAGCCTATGATGAAGACAGAGAGACCAATTAGAGAGCAATGAAATAGTCCCCATGTGAGAGGATGATAGCCTGGTTTAAGGCGGCATTGGAAAGTGCAAATGCAGAGATTGATGCTTTGCAGAAATCTCTAATGACAGCACTCAGTTAGAGACCATGACAGGACCTGACAACCCATTACAGCAGGAAACCCGAAGAGACTGAACACAATAAGGGGTTTTAGCCTGGGGAACTTGGGATTGGCCCCAACATTACAATATTAGGATCTAGAAAGCGACGCAGGTCCAAAACAGGAGAGGAGCTCAGTTCAGAAT